CGTGAAGTGAACTTTCGCAGAGGTGAACAACTTGTGTTTCGCGCGCTCATATGACCTTAGCAGTTGCGAGCGCCGTAAAACCTTATACTACAAACAACAGAAAAGTTTAATAACTAGTTTAACTTCTAATTTATTTTCTCAGAAAGACGGCACCCACATGAGAAGCCAACAGCGGGTGGTCTGCTGCTCCGATTTTCATCTCTCACACTCAGGCTTAAAGTGACACAGTGGGGCTGTAGAGATAGGCAGATAGCTTGATAGGGAGCTAGGTGGATAGGTTATAGTCAGAGTAGGATTTTGTAGGAGTTGCCATGGCCATGGCGGGAGGTAGTTGAGGTGGCAGTGTAGGTTTGGTTGTTTGTTTGTTTTTTGGGGGTGGGAGGTAGGACGGGAAGGGTGGCACGGGTAGAATGGTGTGGGTAGAGCTTCCTGCTGATTTTGAGTTTGAGTGTGAGGTTGTTGGAGTGGCATGTATACTGGATTGTTCCTTGAAGAGGTTTGCTGGTGCAGCACTGCCAGACCTGTATCGAAGTGGATCTTCATCACCAGGACCACCTGCTGGTGCAGAGGGCAACCTATCAGAGGTATTTGTTGGTGATGTAATATTTTGTCTTGGAAGATTATTTGTTTATTAGTTCCATGAAATTAGAAAAATACCAATGAGACTAAGTTCAATGTAAGTTTTGCTTTTTAATTCAGATAAAACCGGAAAATGATAAAACGTATTTACAGATTTTTATAAATGACCTTCTGTCCTTTAAACCAACCATAAACAATTTTATAACAACTCTTTATCTGATGAAACCAAATAATTAACATGTCTGATGAAAGAAGATATTCCTAACTGACACATGTCTTCATCACCAGGACCCCTCCGCTGGAGCGGAGGATGATCTGGATGACGGTCCAAGGATACCACGGCTCAACAGGAGGTATTTGTCTATGAAGTAATGTCTTTGAATAATTTTATTTCTTCACTGTCACAATAAAATTAGAACAATACCTCTGAGACTGAGTTGAATGTAAGTTTTGTTTTTTTAGTTCAGGTTATACCGGAAAATGATAAAATGTATTTAGCGACGGGTTTTATAAAATGCCCTTCTGTTTTTTTAAAGTAATTGATCAATTTTGTAACAACTCTTTATCTGATGAAACAAAAAAATAAGCGTTATAGATGAAAGAAGATATTCCTAATTTACACGTCTTCATCACCAGGACCCCTCTGCTGGAGCGGAGGATGACCCGGATGAGGACCAAAGGATACCAC